AAAAAAAAAAAAAAAAGGCAAGCAATAAAGATTTCGGAACAAAAAGACAACCCAGAAAAACAAAACAAAAGGAGCAAACTTTTTTAGCCCCTTTTTTACACATACCTAGCACTCGGTGCTCGGCAAGGAACCTCGACCTCAAACTCGACCGGAAGCCCCAAAAACCCGTGAAATCTGTCGAATGTAACGTGGGTTATGTGGCGGACGTTCGTGGGCCACCCGATTTCCATGTGCCGGACGGCAGAGATCACCTCCTGGTCCCGCCGGTCGACCCGACACGTGGACACCATGGATTTCCTCAGAGCAGATAGGATGAAGTTCAGCAGCGACAGCTGGCTCTGCTCCTCCGCCTCCGCGGCGGCCGATTTCGAGCTCTTGCCGGCGCACCCGACGGCGGCCCGAGTCACCATAACCACACCAGTCATGTCTCCTTTCTTTCTCTCTCTAGAAATCTGGATAAGCGAGTTCAAATGAAGGGGTGAAATTTGATTGGGGGAAAGAGCATTGAAGGAAGAGGAGTTTTTTGAAGTTTGAAGTGTGTGTTTTATTTTAGTGTTTTTCAAACGGCACACTCTATTTCAAATTCTTGTGTTGTCTGCTTTTTGGTTTTTGCAAATGGATTTGGCATTTTTTGTAATTAAAAAAAAAAAAATGGTTTTTGGGACTATTTTTGGGGTTTGTTTGGGTGTGGTGGTAAAATGCCCATTTTGCCACTTGGGGAATAAATTAAGTGTGTGTCAGTGTGTGTAGGTGGGTGGGTGAACCGTGAGCCAATTTTGAAATTTATTAAATAGCTATGTTTTATTTTGTTTTTTTTTTTTCATATTTTGTCTTTAGTAATTTGAATACTCATTTTTTTCTATTATTTTTTTTTATCTTTATGTTTATGTGATTGGAAGGGGTAAAAATGGGGATGATAGCAACACATGGTGAATTGGACCAGCCACATATTCTTAGTTTACATATCAATTGATTTTGTGAAATATGCATGTGAAATGTTTATTACACAATCAAACTTTGATTTATAAGTGGTTTATTTTAATTTTGGGTGAGAGATAAATGATACATTGCTAGGGTTGATGTTTTATATACAAAAAATATAGAACCAAATTAATCCAAACCGAAAGTAATCGATTCGCTCCGACTATTTAAAAGAAAAAGACATTTTTTTTTACGGTTCAACCTAATTTATGCATATTAAGCAAATAGCGAAAAATATATGCTCAATATACATGTAATTTATTTCATAAGAACTAACCATTTTTTATTTTTGGTTTTGAGCTTTGTTTTTTTATATTTATATTCTGATTCTCAATTTTTATGACAAATATTTTTTTATTGTATGTGATTAGCACTTTTTGACCAAATATAACTCAAAATAAATTATCAATGGTTATTCTAGGTGACGGCATTAACCAAACTAATATCACACATTTCATTTTTATTTTTTTTAATTTATTTGGGATTTAAATATTAATAGAACCGAGTCTATCCAAACAATTTCATATTAAGTATGCAGAGATTGAATACTCAACTTACATTTAAACACAAGACAAATTGGATGTTCCAAATGATTTTGTTTTATCTCTTAATTTAATAAGAGTCTAGATAATGACTTCAACAAGTCTTAACTAATTTCAGTTTAGTACAAAAATTCAAAGGGGTAAATCGGACAATTAGGGTTCATTTCAAATTGTATAATACCGTTGGTTGAAAGGCGATATTCACTTTTAGCCTTGCAAGTTATCTACCTCCAACAACAAAAAGTTGCTTTTAGATCCAAGTCTAAAATCATTATTGCTGAGTAATTAATCTGGCCCTTCCAGCATGTAAGCCCAGATGACCAGGCCCAGTTTCATTTATTGGGCCTCTGTCTGCTTTGTAGAACAGATAGAACAACAAGTCGATTGTAATAGTTAAATAAGTCTAATCGAATTCAGTTCATTGAGGTTCGAAATAAATATATTTTTATTAAGTTTTTTGTAGTTTGACTTAATAATGCTCAAATTGAGTTGGTCAATACTATTAAACAAGCTGAGCTCAGATTTATTTATCGGTTTATTTTATTATCAGGAGAATTTGATAAAACCTCAAATCCAAACTTAAATTTCAAGATTTGTTTCCACGTGTAATGGGTGGTGGGGGTAACAAATCACGCATTTCTCTATTCAAATTCAAATATTTGCAATGATTTTTTTTTTTCTTTTCTTATAAACTTATAATCAGTCAGTCCCGTGACTCCATCCCGTGTTTGCTTTTGTGTCGTGTGTTAATTAGACCGTTGGAAATCGTATCCGGCCTGGGATTCAACTTGCTTTTCTGTCTCATCCATTGGGCCCTTCAAAATTTTGATCCACCTTTTGTTGGGCTAACTTATGTAAGCCCATTCAAATGCACTTTCGGGCGCTTTATGAGTAGTGTGAGATTTGAATTATATGGAATTTGGTGGTGATTGTTTATGGACTTAACTAATTTTTATTTGGTTTGTTTTTTAATTATAGTTTATTTTAAAAAAATATAGTATGGTTAGTTGTTAGTGGATATATTAAAATAATATTTAAATAAAATAATTAAAATTGATTTGATGTAAAGCATGAGAAAAATGATTGAAAATGATAGTTAGTTAAAAGTATGTGAGTGAATTAAAGTTGATGTGATGTGTAAGAATGATTGGTTGATATTATTTAATTATATTGATAATATGAGAGATAGTGGGGTTGGATTAAAGTTTAGTTAAATTTGAGTTTTGATTATTTTTTTTTTATTGTACAACCAATAAACAATCGCTCCCTTAGACATTCATATCACAAGTGTATGCGCGCAACCGCCGTTGATAGCATAATGTAGCATATAAACATTTAGGGCATGCTTGTTTATCAATTATTTCACTAACATTTAATTTATACTCAAAATCTAATTCAGTTTTAACTTAATTTCAATATCTTTAACATTATTCATATAATTAAATAATACAAATCAATCATTTTTACACATCACATCAACTTTAATTCACTATTCATCCGTTCACATAATTTTAACTACCTATCATTTCCAATTATTTATCTCATACTTTTACATCAAATCAATTTTAATCATTTTATTTTAAATATTATTTTAATACATTATTAACATCCCACTAACAACTAACCATACCATATTTTTCAAAGTTAACTCTAGTTAACCAAAAATAACTCATTTTGGATGAATTATTTTGTAAACAAGCGAGCCCTTAAATTTTTGTCAGGTTTATTAATTTGGTTCGCTCCGAGCTAGAACTTTTAAATGAAATGAGCAGTTCATGAGCTCGGTCCCACTCTTCTCGTTAAGGCTCGAGTTCAACTCAACTAGTTTGATGAACAAACTGGAGCTCGAGCTTGTTTCGTAAACGAGTCGGGTTCGATTGGCTCGTTAAGGCTAAAAAAAGAATTTGTATACAATTTTCTATAATTCGGCTTATCAATCCTCGAGATTGATTCGTTAGTATTGATAAACGAGTCGAGCACGAGCTCAATTTTTTGCTCGTTTAATTAACGATACGAGCCAAGCTTCATCTCGCTAAAGGCTCTAGTTCGAGCACCATAAGCTCGAGCTCGACTTAACTCGACTACAACACTACTTCGAGCCACCATTGAATACTTCATTTTTATCATGCTAATTAGATTAAAAACTACACATGTTGCGGTGATAATGTCCTCCAAAATCATCATTGAACATCTCAATGATTAAGTAATAATGTCTACTAATACCATTATTGATCATCTTAATGGTAAATAACGCTCTAAGAAAGTATATTTAATTGAAACAATTAAAGTTCAAATGAAGAAGATATGTTGAATTTTTCAAGAAAAATAAATGAATAGTATAATACATTCTTTTAACGAAACGTCATGCTTTCAATAGAAGAAAAACGCATAATTACAAATAAAAGAACAACCAAACAATCGAAAAAAGTCAACTATTCAGTTGGATCTAGTTGGGAGGACTAACCCCATAGGCAAATAGTGTGAGGCAGCCTAAAACCAACCTAAACACAACACACCAAAACTAAAAACAGAAACAAAAACCACAATAAAAGTTCCCAACAAGAGAATATAGATCCCCATATTTGGTATGTGACACTTTTGGTATTATGTATAGGGAAAAACTCTCAGTTAGTACCTTATTTTTACTTGTTTTTCATTTTTGGTACCCAAAATTTTTCCTTAATCATTATTTCCGTCCGTTAATCAATTTCAATCTAAACCGTCAACTTTTTCAATCATTATTGGTTCCCAAATTTTTGCCCATTAAGAGCATCTCCAAGAGTCTCCTTATTCATCTTTCTTATCTCAAAAATAGGGTTTTTTTCTAAAAAGTTGTCTCCAACAGTTCCCTAAATTTGGTCCTATTTTTAAGAAGTCCTCAAATAGAGGCTTCTCTTCCTCATTCTTGGCGAGCCAAAAAAGACCCCCCATTTCTTTTCCCCGCCTTTATTTTCCATAGGCGCTCTTTTTTTTTTTTATTCGTGCGGTCTTTTCCTCCATCTCCTTTCATCTCCCCCTCCACTGCCGCGTGCTCGCAGCATCCTCGCCGCCCTCCACCGCCGCCGGAAAGGTGCCGCCACTACCAGATGGAAGGTACTGCCGTCCTCCTTTTTCTGCACTTTTGAACCGGTGCATTCAGAGATTCATATACTTCATGAAGTGCTTCTGTAACAGCGATGCATTCGTCGTCGTCGTCAGAGGATGTTTCATCCAAGATGCGCATAATCAAGCTACGATCCATGGCTGATGATAGCACCATCGGAAGGCAAAATTCTCAGTGTTTTTCTAATATGACCGGTCGCCTCCCTGGCCTGACGTGTGTTGGGATCTGTGAGGATCTCGTTATGTACAAATCACGAATTCAATAGCAAACGTAAACCTATGCGCAGCGGATCTAAAGGTTTGACGTAGAGAACTTACGGCTTAAAATTTATGTAGATCTGGTTGACCACGAACGGTTGACCGCAATTGATTGACCGCAACACGCGTCTTGGGTTGCACGAACAAGATCAGATCAAAACTGGATCAAACGGATGCAAACAGATCAAAACGAAATTTTGCTGCCAGACACCTTCCGGCGGCGCGTGAGGGCGCGTGCGGCGTCGGATTCCGGCGACGTCGGCGGCGATGGAAAGCTCTCGTCGAGACGGTCGTCTGGGTATACTGTACGTCTCAATCGGACTTCCGGTTAGTTCTGTAGGTCAAAATCAATTTCGTCTCGGTTTACCTACAGATCTTCTACTGTATTACTCAATACACCCTTCTTCAACTTGTACCAGTGGAGCAACAAGAAGAAGATAAAGCTCGAATGAGATCTAGAGAGAGAGGCGTGTTTCACGTGAGAATGAATTCTATTCTCTTCTCATGAGCTTAATGATGTATATATAGAGCTACAGTAGGGACCCTAAGGAGATTAGGAAAAGGGCTCCTTAATTAATTAGACTAACTGTGGGCCAAACCCACTCCTCTAATTAATTAAATAATATTAATGGGCCACCAACATTATATTATTGCACTCCCTTTCCCTAGCCCAAATTACATTTGAGACTCCAATAATAATTACTCGATTTACCTCCCCACGT